AATAATAATAATAGAAAGGTATTTTGAAATAGAAAGGAGAATGAAAGAGAAAATAATACTAAGAAATTAGCCAAAGTATTAAAGTTGTTTTATCAAAATTATTAATAATGGTAAGAAATGTTTCGGTCCATTAAATCGTGCATATTTCTTAACATTACCACAATTGGACCTCGTCAGTAAAACCTGTTTCCATAAAGAATACATATAATCCCTGAGATCAAGAAAAATCGATGGATGCTAGGAATTAAAAAGCCATCATCATCCCTTGATGGGCGATGATAGGCAATAGTAACAGATCTCTAATCCCAAGTCACATTGTTGTTTGAAATCAATTAATTTAAAATAGTTAAGGTAAAAGTCGCATATAATTTTCCTTTCCACTGCATAAACTTCCGCTAATTCTGTGCCTGTTTTTCCAAATTAATCATATTTACTTCTGAGTTTTCTTTTTTTTTTTATTTTCCTTCCCCTCCCGTTCACAACACCATAACCGTCACAGTGACGAAGTTCAGCGGTCAGACCGATCGCCAGTTTATTTTCAAGAAACTCTTGAACAGAAAAAACCATCACCAGTTCCACTGGTGAGCCAATAATTTTCACTGTATTACTTCAATTAGATCTCTCGCAAATGTTTTTGGTTCGAAAATGAAAAATTAGAAGGGGGGTTTTTCGAAACAATCTGAAAAACCCCTTTCAAACAGGACTGTTTTAGATTAGTTGCAGTGATACCTAGTTTTGCCTAAAAGAATCTAGAATCGGTCAGAATTTGAAAAGTACTTTAAATAAATCACGATCATTTTGGGATTTTAAAAATCTTAAAAAATCACGATTTTAAAAAATCCCCATTTTGGGACTGGTTATCCATGGATGATCATAGTCACGTTCAGATCATACTGTACGAAATTACCTTGTAAACGTGCTAAATGTCGCATCAAATCGGTATTCAAATTGCTATTATTCAGCTTATCGGCCAACGATACGATGGCTTTGATTGTGCTCTCTCGCACTACCGGGCTGGTATCCGCAAAACCAGACGAAAGATTTCTATAAAATATACTGCATAAAATTTGGGATCAAGCTCGATTACAAACACAGGCGGATCCAGGGCGGTCTCCTGGGGAGGGGCGGGGGAGGACCAGTGATGCCAACGATTATTTTCTTCACTTTTAGCGTTGTAGATTGAGCCCCTAGAGGGGGACGGGGCGGAAAAGGGGGAAGGAGGGAGGAG